TTTGGAGGACCAAATGTATGTCCTCCTTGTTGAGCAGAGAACTCCAAAGAGGATTTCCCTGTGTCCAGTGGTGTGCCATGGGACCCCACCCCAGGTTCCCTGGTTTCTTTGTGTCTTCTTCCAAGCACCTCCCTTGAACCTCAGCGCAGGTGAGCACAAGCCGATCGTCAGGCCCAGCTGCATGGGGTGATAGTTTCAGTAAGACCTTGTAAATACAAAGGAAGAAGAAAAGGAGGTAACTTGAGTGGCCTCAGCCACAGCACCTTTTAGGAGTAAGGGGGGAAGATACATCTCTCAAACTTGCACAGACCTGGGCTCAAATCCTGGCTCCGTCGCTGGTCAGCTCCTTGACTTTAAGTGGCAACTTTCCCCGTGGACTGTGGTGGTACTTAAGATACCAATCCCCTCAACTCTGGATGCCCAGCATGGCTGGCAGGCTGTGGGCCAGTGCCCTCTGGAAGCATCTGGAACTGCCTTGCAGTTTATAGCCTCTGCACTTTGATGGGAGAGAGGCCCTGTGGAATATTTCTGAGAGTGAACGAGGCAATGCACGTCTGCCTGTTAGAAGGAAGGTGTTACTTATCTTTGCTGTGAAGTAGTACCAACCTTTACTTGTGCCTTCCACGGGCAAGACCAAGTTCACTTCAGCTTATCTACGTGTATGTGTTTCCAAGTCTTAAATAAGACTCTGATCCACTCGGTTTACTGAGAAATTACTGAGCCGGCTCCTGAGCTTTGTGCCCAGTGTGCTTGGGCTCTGAGTCGGTGAGAGGAATGCTTAGGAATACATTAAACCTAAATCTAAGCACTAGATTGTGTGGGCGTGATAACGGCTGCCCTGTATGGAGAGTCCGTGTGGGCCGGCTGTACCGAGTGCTTCATCCACGTCTTCCTTTCTGAGCCTTCCGAGGGAAGAGAAGGCTCCCGGAGAACTGGAACGTGGATCTTTCAAGGAGGTAGACCTGGTGGCCCGAGTGGAAGAGAAGGCTGTGAGTCAGGACAATGACACCAGTGCAGGACCAGAAAAAGGAAGGGGTGCTGTTAGCGTTTTCTCCAAGCTTACTCCACAGACACTGTGTTTTAACCGCTGTCACTGGAAGAGGTGGCGTCCTCCCTGCTCCCGGGCCAGGACCCCCGTGAGTTACATAAGCAGCTCAACCTGACCTACTCATCTCCTGAGCCAGCGCTCCTGCCTCCTGTGCCCACAAGGTGTCTGGCACTGTCGGGAGCAGAGTTGGAGGCTCAGCCTGTCCCTGCTGGCTTTGAGAGTGGGCAGGTGCCGTGAGCAAGGGCTGCAAGGCTGCCCTAGAAGCTGGGAAAGGCAGGAAGCAGGTTCTTCTCTGTTCTCCAGGAGGAACACAGCTTGCTGAGGCGCCTGTCAGACGTCCAGTGCACAGAACTAGAAGGAAATGAATCTGTGTTGTTTTAAGCCACCAAGTTCGTGCTCCTTTGTTAAATGACAACAAGAGGTGAATATACCATTCTGTGTTTGAAGTTAAGTAGGTACAGAGTTTTTAGTATCTTGGCTTAGAGTCTCAGAGTCATTCTGAGGTAACAAACCATGAGTCACAGCATCTTCTAAACCCTTGCGTATGATAATCTCCACGGGGAACGGAGGGTGGAACCATGTTTCCTATCACAGCTTGGCCCATCCGCCCCCTGTCCTACTGGGATGCTGCGGAGCGAGATGCCTGACGCGGTGCGGTGCCTGACGGGAAGCAAGGGTCTGTAACGGGTCTCAGTCCATTTGCCGCCACAGTGCCTGAGATGCAGTCATCTATGACGCAGAGAAAGTTGTTCCTGGAGACCGAGAGGTCCAAGGCCCAGGCGCCAGTGGCCGGTGACAGTCTTCTGGCAGTGGTGTCACTTGGTGGAGGCACAAGAGGGCCAAACTTGAAAAAAGGCATCAACCCTGCCCACTGCCCCGTGGCCTAATTTGCCTCTCAAAAGGCTGACTTCTTTGTAGGTTAACAGTGGTAGCTACGTTTGGGCATCAGTTTGGGAGGAACAGACATTCAAACTGTAGCCGGTATCATCCTTCAGAGGTACTATTGATGAAGCCACGGCAGAACTGGACAGAAAGGTTTGAGTTTGAACACGCATGGGGAGGGAAACTTGAAACCGATTCTGTTGGCCTGAGAACAGACCGAGGCATTGGGACGCCCATGGGGGAGAGGGTGCAGGGCTTTGCTGCATACAGCTGTCTGCACAGTGATTGAACAAAAGTCCTGTGCTATCTCTCTGAACCCTCGAGAAGTGTTAGGTGGGCTCCCACCCAAGGACACTTGTACAGTTGCACTAACTGATTCAATAGCAACAGGAGTTATAGTTTAAAAAATGTTAAATTTATTCAGAAGAGATTGTTGGTCCATTGGTTCACTCACCAAATCTCTGCGTCAGCTGAGACTGGGCTGGGCCGAAGCCAGGAGCCAGCAGCTCAAGTCAGATCTCCCCATGTGGGTAGCAAGGACCCAGGTGCTTGAGCCATCCCCTGCTGTTTCCCAGGGTGTACATAAGCAGGAGGTTGAAATGGAGAACAGAGTTGGGACGCAAACCCAGACGCTCCCATATAGGATACAGATTCCCCAAACTGCATCTCAGCCACTGCACCCAGTGCCTGCCCCGGGACTTGCAGTTATCGAAAGAGGTCAGCTCTTCAGAGAGCCTCAGAATCAAAGACAGATATCAAGGTTACTAGTAGACAAAGACAAGAAGAGAGTGAATGGTTAGCCAGGATGACTGCCCCAGGCTGGATACGGTCACAACATGGGCAGGCTTTGGAAACACTGCCACGTCAAAGTTGCCTGTCACAAATGGGCACATACTGTATGATTCCATTTATACCACCAGAACAGGCGATTCCGTGGAGCCAGAGAGTGGACTGGTGGTTGCCAGGGGCTGGGCAGAGGGGTTCAAGGAAATGGAGAGGGACCGCTGATGGGTATGGGCTTCTTTGGGGGGGTAAGCAAGCATTGTACAGTTGACTGATTTTTGGCAGCACAACTCTTGAGTATACCAAAATCCACTGAGTTGCCTGCTTTAAATGGATGAATGTTTAGTACATGAATTATATTTCCATAGAGCTTTTTCTTCAAAAGTAGACACATGAGGTAACTGCTTGATGGAGAGCCTAACCAAAGCAATATTAACCTTTAATAAAAGCAACTTCTAGGACTATCTTAGAGGTGTTCTCAGTGTCTGTCCTCTGGCACAGGAGCTGTAATGGTTAAGATACCTCCACCTTATCTGAAATTATTGAAAACCCATGGAAAGGATTTCTTTATTGATCAGTGACTCTGGTTGTGTTTGGAGATTTCCACTTTTCCTGTGTTTACTAGGTGGGTCCTTGCTCCTGTAGGAATCCTGACCAGTTCGGTAAGGACGAGGCTGGCACGCAGTTGGATGGCACTCCAGGTTTTGCTGTGTGTCTGAGTCCCATTCAGTACCACAGCAGTTGCTGCACTTAACAAGAGCTGGGATCCTTTTCAGCATGCATTGTCATGAACTTGGAAAACTGAGATTGCCAGCAGGGCCTCCAGGACATCTTTTAAGTGAGAACAGTAGAGTTTTGTTTTGTTTTTTATTTTTATTTATTTATTTTTTTGACAGGCAGAGTGGACAGTGAGAGAGAGAGAGAGAGAAAGGTCTTCTTTTGCTGTTGGTTCACCCTCCAATGGCTGCCACGGCCGGCGCGCTGCGCTGATCCGAAAGCAGGAGCCAGGTGCCTCTCCCGGTCTCCCATGGGGTGCAGGGCCCAAGCACTTGGGCCATCCTCCACTGCACTCCCGGGCCACAGCAGAGAGCTGGGCTGGAAGAGGGGCAACCTGGACAGAATCCGGCGCCCCAACCGGGACTAGAACCCGGTGTGCCGGCGCCGCAAGGCGGAGGATTAGCCTAGTGAGCCGCGGCGCCGGCCACCGTAACGTCTTACAGGCTGTGGCCCTTGGAGATGTTCTTGCTGCAGGTGCATGGACTACACAGGATGTTGGCACTGTGGAGCTACGCTAGCTCCTGCCAGAGGCCGCTGCTGTCCCTCAGTGATGCTCCCAGCTTCTGCCTTCTGGGCAGGCCCAGGGCATAGTGCAGACTGCCCTTGTGGCAGATGGAGCTGCTCTGCTCGCTGCTGCCAACAGTGTTGCCTCATGGCCCTCGCTTTCTGGCTTGTCCCCCCCAGCTCCCTGGTGTACCTCAGGAGCCAGTCATGCGGTCAGTTATTCCTCCCAGAATTGTAATCTGCCTTCTGTTCAGTTCAAGAAAGCATGGTTAAAGGACTTTCGTTACTTATGTAGAGGTTGCAGCCCATGAGGATGGACAAGTCTGTAATTGAACAAAGACAAGGGGAAGAAAAACCCTATTATTCTACAGCAAAAAGACTAATTGGGAGATACATGCAGTGTCGGGTGGCAGAGTTGCGGGAGATGGGCCAGAAACATGGGCTGGAGCCGAGTGTGGGAAGGTTCCCCATGACAAGAGGACCTGTGGGAGGTGGAGGTGCGCTGCCAGGTGCTCATTGTCATGACAGCCCTGAAAGGTGCGTGGAGAAACTGAGTCAGACCATGCGGGTGTGCCCAAGGTCACACAGCTGGCAAATGGCACCGCTGGAGTTTGAAGCATCCGAGTGTGCGTCTGTGTGCTCTGCTGGGTGAACGTGCCATGCAATGCTTTCTAGGTCAGAGCGGTCACATGCTAGCGGTGCGGTGTGGCTCAGCCTCTGGGGCCCCAGCCGGTGCGCGGAGGGGCTGATCCCTCTGGGCAGGAATGGCCACCGAGGCTTCAGAGCAAGGCCTCAGAAGCTTCGATTCTGGGTGGGTGGAGGTGAGGCAGCAGGAAGGGCAGGTGGGGTGAGGGGTGAGGGGTGAGGGAGCAGCCGACTGGCAGGGGCCCTGGGGCGCTGTGCCTGAGGCCGGGAGCCACTCCCACGTAGCTTGCTTGCTCGCGCTCCGGCGCGCTCTCTGCATTGGCTGTTCATTGTGCCGGTTCCCAACGTTCTCTTTCGACAGGAGACAGGCGAGCAGATCGCCATCAAGCAGTGCCGGCAGGAGCTGAGCCCACGGAACCGAGAGCGCTGGTGTCTTGAGATCCAGATCATGAGAAGGTGAGGGCCTGGGCTGCCAGACAGCTGTGGTGGAGTGGCCTCTAGGGACCCCGGTGTGGATCTGGAGCAACGGCCCCATTGCTGCGTGTGGCAAAGTTGTGCCTCTCCTCCAGCTGGGTGCCAGCAAGGCTGTGTGGATGGGTGACTCCTCCTCTTCCTCTTTTTTTGAAGGTTGGTTTATTCATTTGAGAGCCAGCATTACAGAGAGAGAGAGATCTTCCATCTGCTGGTTCACTCCCTCAGTGGCTGCAGTGGCCAGGGCTGGACCAAGCCAAAGCCAGGAGTCAGGAGCTTCATCTGGGTCTCCCACGTGGGTGCAGGGGCCTAAACACTCGGACCATCTGCTGCTGCTTTTCCCAGGCCATTAATAGGAGCTGGATCAGGAGTGGAGCAGCTGGGATGTGAATTGGCACCCATACGGGATGCCGGTGTCACACGTGGTAGCTTTACCCACTGTGTCAGAACGCTGTCCCCAGTGACTGCACTACTCACGATGGTGGGAAGAGTAGCAGTTAAAGTCTACACGGGGTCTTTTGGTCGGTTTTGTTTATGATCCTTTGGCAGAAGATCCTTGTTTTTCAGGGAGGGGTGCAGCTCCCCAGTGCTATGGCACTGCTGTTGGTATTTACTCCCCAGGGTGCAGGCAGGGTGTGTCGATCCACTTGATGGGTGCTGTCCTGGCTAGTGAAGCGTTTGGGCGGACCCCTGAGAGCCAGCCTAGAAGACGTCAATCAGGTGCTCACTCTGCCAAGCTTGCCGACCAGGCGCCCTGGCCTGCGTGCCCACGTTTGGAAGTGCTCCCTGCTCTGTCTCCAAAGCAGGCTCAGTTATGCCTGCACTCAGGTCTTGACCTCGTGCTGCTGCAAGTGGAGCTAGCCGGGCAGACTCTGGGATACACTGTGCGTTTCTGGACAGGCGTCTCCTCTGTTGATTGCTGAGGGCTCTCGTAAGGTAGACTTGGCTGTCGTGGAGGGAGGGAGGAGTGGGTGAGCTGAAGCTGGGGTCTGCCCTCATTGGTTTCTCTTCCTTCCTAGGCTGAACCACCCTAACGTGGTGGCCGCCCGGGATGTCCCCGAGGGGATGCAGAACTTGGCGCCCAACGACCTGCCGCTGCTGGCCATGGAGTACTGCCAAGGAGGAGACCTCCGCAAGGTGGGACGCGGAGGGGCTGCCCCGGCCATGCCCGCATTGGGGTGACATGGGTGGAGTCGGAGGCTGAGTCAGAGGCTGTCAGGAAAGCGGCAGGGAGGGGCTTGCCGTGCGTTCTACACTGTGACCAGGGCTGCGGGGAAAGGCTGGCTGAGCTCCAGAGTAAACGTTTCCACCCTCGTGTGCTGGGGCCATCGGTCTCAGCGGCAGCATCGCCACTGTCCTTATTAGGAGGGCTTGGCCTCCACAGATGTGGGGCACCACACGCAGTCACCAGGCGTAGCAGGAAGGGAGCTGGCTTAGTTAGTAATCGGGCAGCTGGGATGGGGCTACAGGTCCCCCACTGACTCACCTGCTGGGTTTTGCCTTCCTTCTCACCACCTCGGCTTCTCTTCCCTGAGTTCAGGGTGGGCAGAGGCAGCCTTCCCAGTGCAGGGATGGTTCTGTGTGCCGACTTCCCAGGGCATCTCTAAGACAGTCCCTCACTTGATCCCTAACCACCCTGTGACGTTGGTGTAGATGGGATCCTGTGTTACCAGTGGGTGTCATGGCCCGGAGAGGTCACGTCAACTATCAGACCTCACACAGCTTCAGGAGCAGTGTTTGGGCCACAGTGCTGTGAGTCCCACTGCAGGCCCTCTCTCCGTCTGGGAAACTGAGCAGAGCCACACTGATTTACGAAAATGAAAACTCTGATGAGAGTGTGTGTGAGTTTGTGTGAGAGTGTGTGTGTATGAGTGTATGTGTAAGTGTGTACACGATTGTGAGTGTGTATATGTGCATTTGTGTGAGTGTGTGTATGTGCGTACGAGTGTGCGTTTATGTGAGAGTATGTGTGTGAGTGTATGAGTGTGTGTTCACGCATGTGAGTGTATGAGTGTGTGTATGTGTGTATGAATGTGCATTTATGTGAGTGTATGAGTGTGTGTGTTTGTGCGTTTATGTGAGTGTAAGAGTGTGTATTCACGCATGTGAGCCTGTGAGTGAGTGTACGTGTGTGAGTGCAGCTCCTCTCCCCTCTGCACCCTGCAAGGCCCCGATGCTGGGGCCAGGAATGCCCTGCACTTGACTCTGTCTTCACCTGGAAGTTTCCCAGACTCCTCTCATGTGCTATTTTCATTTCTGTTTCTATTCTGGCCTTTCCAGTGTCGTCCTTTTTTTTTTTTTGAAAGGAAAATTTCCACGAGGGTTGATGCACCACTTTCTCCTGCGGTGGGCGGTGGGCGGTGGGCAGCGTCACGGCAGGATGTGAGCGCGCTCTGGCATGACCTCTGAGCAAGGGACTGATAAGCGATGAGAAATGGGAGCCTTATTTTCCTAACCTTTGACAGTCATCGGGTTCCTGCCTGCGGTGGCAGATAAAGGCACGCTGCACTCGGGTGGGTAGTCAGTGGGCTGGGCAGGATGATGGAGGGCTCTGAAGTCAGGCAGAGGCAGAGCCAGCCAGTGGGCCAGGGAGGGGACGATGGGGATTTCAATCTGATTGACCCAGTGTGGGCTGCGGGGTGACCCGGGGAGGCAGGAAGCGATGGCGTCTTCTGTCCCTGCTGTCACTCCGAAGGCCACTGCTGCTAGAACACTTGATCGATTGTTCCATTTGTTCAAACCAAGTAGCCTTTCTGGAAAAGTTCAGTCCCCTCCCTGAAAAAGTTCAGAATCTCTGACCTTGGGCACAGGGAGATGAGCTTGTCCTGCACAGGGGCAGATGTGCAAGTCAGAACAGATCTGAAAGTGGAGTCTGTGCCCGAGCAGGTAGAGGCTCTTGACCGTTGGTCATGAGTCCGAGCCTCAGCTGGGAGGTGGCTTTCTCTGTCGTCTCCATCCGATGCCAGCTCCCAGCAGCACGTTGAGCCCCTTGGTAAGATGAGAGGCCAGGAGAGCCGGGGAGTCACGCTTGGCTCTGCCCTCCGAGGGCCCCGTGAGCTGGCAGGTGTCTGACCCCTCTCGTCTCTTGTTTCCTAACTCTGACACGGGAACCGCCATTGCCTCATGCTAGCCTGGAGGGTTAACTGAACACCTGCAGGGACGAAGCTTCGCTGAGCTAAGCCGTGTACATGGCAGCTGGTGCCAGACACGTTGCAAGTGCTCCTTAGCTGCTCTCGGCTTTGATCATCACCATGTGTGGTGAGGCGACAGGGAAGTGGTCGGAGGGTGTTGTCCAGTGGCCGCCTGCCTGCCTCCTTCAGGGGGCTCTGCAGGGCAGGGAATCGCTGGGGCAGGGCCTGGACTCTGGCCCGCTTCGCAGCCGGGAGACTGGAGAATGCCTCGTCACAGGGTGACTCCAACACCTGCCTCCAGGGCCAGCCGTCCGAGGACGGGAGTTCTCCCTGCTGCTTCCCTTCCTCCTCAGGCCAATTCCTGCCAGCCCCGCTGCCCAGGCCTCCTCCAAAGCGGGGGTCCCAGTGCCCATGTCCAGGGTCGGCCCTCAGCCCGCTGGCTGCGATGGAGGCGCGTGACCGGCTGCTCTGACACCTGTTCCCACCTTCTCCACAGTACCTGAACCAGTTTGAGAACTGCTGCGGCCTGCGGGAAGGAGCCATCCTCACCTTGCTGAGCGACATTGGTAAATCCCAGCCCTGGGAGTCAGGCCGCACCCTTCCAGGAGAGAGTGTGGCGCCCCTGTGCGTGCCTGCCGAGCACAGAAGGGAGGCAGTTTTGGTCCTTTGACCTTTAGAGAGGGTGGGGATGGGGGCCGAGGGGGCCCTGCTGGAGTGGGAAAGCCAGCAAGGTAACCCTAACCCTAACCCTAACCCTAACCCTAACCCTAACCCTAACCCTAACCCTAACCCTAACCCTAACCCTAACCCCTTCCTTCCTGACCAGTCATGAGGTGAATTATGATGAACGCGGAATACCAGATTTCCTTCCCCATTAGAAAGCTCCCCTCCCTGCTTTTCCTGGAATGGCCAGCGGTGGAATCGGTTGTCATCTGAAGGATTTTGTCGCCTGGCAATGAATTTTTCCACTGCCACGTAGGCGGTTCTTTGCCAGCCACAAGCGTAGGAAAAACCGCCCTCATTCCGTCCCTTGACGCCGTCGGCGTCCTCAGATGGGAGTGTCCACCTCGCTCTCCGAGGAGGTCAGGCTGGCTGCAGTGACCTGCACAGCAGAGGTCACGCTGGAGTCTCCTGGAGCTGGGCCCACTCCGGGAGGGAACCCGGGCACTCTGAGTCGGCACGCGGTTCCCACCTGGAGCGTCAGCGCTCAGAGAGCCTTGCTGAGCTGTGTGTTCTTAAGAGCAGAGCAGTCCCCAGGGTTGTTGGCGTGAGTCGCTGTGATCTGAGGTTTAGATTTGCCCCAGAGTTCATCTTTGAATATTTGCCCCTGCCCCTTCCTGCTCTCTGGAGATTGGCACCATTTTCATCTCTTCCACCCTCCATCTTTTGAAGCTGTATATATAAACTTTTTTTTGTCTGCTTGAACTTTTTTGGGGGGAGTGGGGGTGTTGTCAAATAGGAAAGCTGAAAGAGTTAGGCCCATGTGGGTCCCCTGGAGACCCTCTGTCTGCCTCGAGGACTAACCCCTAGGTCAGGAATCTGCTTGTTCCCTGGAGAGCCTGCCACGGGGCTCACCCCATGCAACCTACGCTTGGGTGGTTTCTTGATTTTTTTCTCAGGGGCCAGATTACCTGATTGTTCTCCATTTTGTTGGGTAGAAGACAGGTTAGCGGGTTGGGAAATATTCTTTTGTTTTTGTGGGCAGCTTTTATTGTGTGTCTGGTTAGTTTGTCAAGTGTGGTTTTTCCTTTGGTCTTATTCTCGCAGACATTTTCCTTTCTCTTATTGGATTATTTACACATTTAGTAAGTAGTTACCAAGGAACTCTTTACATTATTGGCTCAAGTACATGTCTACTTCTTCATATATAGCTTTGTCCTTTCTCAGGTAATCCCCTACTTATACTAATAGGGCATCTCATTGTTTTATATTCTTTTGGTCTGGGTGTACTTTTGTAGAAAAAAAAACAGTTGTATTATTTATTTGAGAGAGAGCGAGCTCCCATCTGCCACCTTCCTCAGATGCTCACAACAGCTGGGGCTGGGCCAGGCCAAAACCAGGAACTACATCCAGGCCTCCCACATGGGTGACAGGGACCCAAGAGCTTGAGCCATCACCACTGCCTCCCAGGGTGTACGTCTGCAGGAAGCTGGAGTCATGTGCAGAGTTTTATTTATTTATTTATTTGATTCCAGAGGCAGAGTGACAGCAGAGAGAGGGAAAGACAGAGAGGTCTACCCTCCGCTGGTTCAATCCCCAAATGGCCTCGACGGCTGGAGCTGGGCAGATCCAAAGCCAGGAGTCAGGAGCTTCCAGACCTGGGTGCAAGGGCCCAAGCACTTGGGCTATCCTTCATTGCTTTCCCCAGGCCATTAGCAGAGACCTGGATCAGAAGAGGAACAGCCGGGTCATGAACCGGCACCCGTGTGGGATGCCAGTGCCGCAGGCAGAGGCTTAGCCTGCAGAGCTACAGGCACTGGCCCTAGGTGGTAGCTTTTGTTTTTTTTTTTTTTTTTTTTTTTTTTTTTTTTTTTTTTTTTTTTTTTTTTTTTTTTTTTGACAGGCAGAGTGGACAGAGAGAGAGACAGAGAGAGAAAGGTCTTCCTTTTGCCGTTGGTTCACCCTCCAATGGCCGCCGCTGCAGCCGGCGCACCGCGCTGATCCTGGCAGGAGCCAGGAGCCAGGTGCTTTTCCTGGTCTCCCATGGGGTGCAGGGCCCAAGCACCTGGGCCATCCTCCACTGCACTCCCTGGCCATAGCAGAGAGCTGGCCTGGAAGAGGGGCAACCGGGACAGAATCCGGCGCCCCGACCGGGACTAGAACCCGGTGTGCCGGCGCCGCAAGGTGGAGGATTAGCCTATTGAGCCACGGCGCCGGCTCAGTAGCTTTTGTGCTGTTCAAGTTTCGTGTGTATACTTTGAACATAAGTCAGAACAATGAAGGCAGATAAGCTCTTGGGTACTTTCGTGGTACAACCCTTCCATAGGTCCATAGGTGCATGACTATTAAATTTTTTTAATGAATGAAGTATTTTTTTAAATATTTTTATCTACTTGAAAGGCAAAGCTAGAGAGAGAGAGAGAGAGAAATCTTTTATCCTCTGGTTCACTCCCCAAATGCTTGAAACACCCTGGGCTGGGCCAGACTGAAGCCCAGGAGCCAGAAGCTCCATCTGGGTCTCCCATGTGGGTGACAGGGGCCCAAACACTTGAACCATCATCTCCTGCATCCCATAGTGTATTTGCAGGAAGCTGGATTAGAAGCCAAGGAGGGCCGGTGCCGTGGCTCACTTGGCTAATCCTCTGCCTGCGGCACCGGCACCCCGGGTTCTAGTCCCAGTTGGGGTGCCAGATTCTGTCCCGGTTGCTCCTCTTCCAGTCTGGCTCTCTGCTGTGACCCAGGAGGGCAGTGGAGGATCGCCCAAGTGCTTGGGCCCTGTACCCACATGGGAGACAAGGAGGGGGCATCTGGCTCCTGGCTTCAGATCGGGGCAGTGCTCCGGCTGTGGCAGCTGTTTGGGGGGTGAACCGGCGGAAGGAAGACCTTTCTCTCTGTCTCTCTCTCTCTTTCTCATTGTCTAACTCTGCCTGTAAAAAAAAAAAAAAAAGAAGAAGCAGCAGCCAAGGAGCCAGACTCAGTCCTGCCCTCAGATACTTGATGCAGGCATCCCAAGTGGTGGCCTTAACCCACCACTCCACGGCATCCCCCCTGAATATTAAATTCTTTGAGTTGGTGATTCTGTCTTTTCTTTCTGTGACTGTATATTGGAAATAATTAGACTTTGAAGTGCTAGCGTACTAAAATTAAACTTACCCCCCCCCTTCTTTCTTTTGAGAGAAAGAAAAAACACTCGTGTCCTCTGGTTCACTCCTTACATGCCTGCAGTGGTTGAAGTTGGCCAGGCCAGAGCCAGATTCCAGGACCTCAGTTGAGGTCTCCCATGAGAATGGCAGAGACGCAGTTCCTGTAGCCTCCCAGGATCTGTCTGCATTAGCAAGAAAACTGGATTGAGGAGCCAGATCTGGGCATCAAACCCTGATGCTCCCACATGAGATGCCACATGCAATTAGCATTCCCAGGGCAAGGGACAGCTCTTCCGCCCATCAGCAGTGTGACATAATCTTCAGAACGTCCGTTTATTAGCCGTAAAGTGGGAAGGTGACCTCATTAGACTTGTCAGCAGGACAGAATGAGGTGATGCACATGCGGCTGCTGCAGTGTTTAGTCGGGGCAGTGTACAGTCAGCAGATGTTCACTCCTCTCATTTCCTCCCCCTCAGCTCCTCGTGTGGGTTGGGACCCGAGGGTGGGCCCAGGGAACCAGACACATGGTTGTCTTGTAAGTCCTCTTCCTGGAAGTGGCCCACCTCCCTCAGACCCCGCCCATCTCAGTGGCCTATGGACACAGTCACATCCCCTGCTTGTGGTGGCTTTTGAGGTTGCTGATAAGCTTGGATCATCCTTTTATTCCCTTTTTTTTTTTTTTTAATTTCTGAATAAGAGCTGTCAGATTTATTTCTTTTGCAAGAACCCTGTGACCGAGTCAGAGTTCAAAAGCTTTTGTGGAGCCCATCTAACATAACTCGTTTGTGTGTTGAAACATTTCCTGAGCATATTTTGTTCCCGCTTGTCCCAAGTGCTGGCCCTGCCGTGCCCTTTGTTGGAGTCGCCGCTGCTGTTCTCTGCCAGGTTGACTTCAGAGAAGTGGCAGAGCCACGCCCTCGACCTCTGGGTCCTGAGTCACTGCTTCTCTCCTGCTTAGACCTGTTGGCCCCTGACCTCCCAGAGACGTGCACTGGGCGCAGCCTCCAGGCAACAGGCACACGTAGGATTTTTGCAGTGAATGTTAAGTGGGCCAAGAAGATACTGTAGAGTCCACAGGAGGCAGCAGGCCGAGGCTTGGCAAGCCCCTGGAGAGCCTCCTGCCCCCGAAGCCAGGACAAGCCTGTCAGACCCTTGCACTCACACCGGGGGACAGGTGCAGAGGCAGCTGGAAGTGATTTGGACTTCCTCACCATGTGACCCCTCAAATAGCTCAGGGAAGTCAGGGAGAAGTGGCCTCCTGTCTGTGTAGTCTGGCTTCGTGTCTCCTCCTGCCAGTGGAGGAGCAGAGTCCTGAGCAGTCGAGCGGGCGTTTGCTGCTGCCTGCAAGGGTGCGGGGTCGTGCCAGTGCCAGGGCCAGCCGGGCAGTCTCCGTGGCCGTATTGGGTCTGAATCAGTTCTCCCTGGCCTTGCAGGTGGCTGCTTTGCTGTGCTGGCTGACCGTGGGGTTCCCTGAACCTCAGGGACCGCCCCGCCTCCCCCATTTTTGTCTGTTCTTCATTCGTTCTCTGAGTCATCGTGTCTCTGTCTTCTGTCGGAGTTGCTCCCAGCAGCTGTCCAGGACGTGAGCATCAGAGCAGAGAGGATCTCGGCTGGATTCCAGATGCAGTGCTTCTGTCATTGTGGGTTTTCATACTTGTTCTACAGGATACATCTGTCTGACTGCACTGTTGATTTTAACAAAAAATGATGATCGTGGCCTCAGATCATTTGTAGATAGGATGTTGGAAAACATAAGTGACCAG